GGGGAGGAGGGGAGGAGGGATGACGGGGCTGGATATCCTACTGTAGGTAGGATACTAACTTAATATTAATAAGGGGTGGGGACGGAGATGATTGTAAGGGCGAAGGGGGAGCAAGACGCGAAGAGAGAAGGGCGGAGTGAACGTGTAGGCTCTGAAGGGGGACGGCGTCTGGCAACAGAAAGTGTCTCACGTAGCAGAGGCGGATACGTTGAGCTGAGAGGCGAGCAGTCAGTTTGTGCCCCCCAGCAATCGCTCTCCGCACCCTACGTGTCCCCCGTGTCCACCCCCCATCCTTTTTATAGCTCCCCGCCCTTCCCGCCCTCCCACCCACCCTTATCTCCTCTCCCTCATGACCGCTTCGCCATTCCCCCTCTCCCCCTCCTCGTCCACTCCCACTCCTGCCGCGCCCACGCCCGTCGCCCAACCGCCCGCCGCCGCCGCGGCGCCCCGCCTCGCCCCGTCACTGCTGCAGCCGTCACTGCTGCCCACACCCCATGGAGAGACGCGGCGACGAACGCGGAGAGGCCCTGCTGCGCGCGCACCGCGCCGCCGGTTCGCACACCCTGCGCTACACCGCCGTGCACCCCGTCAACCTCGACGGCTGGCTCTCCAAGGAGGGCAAGGCCCTGCGCGCACGCTGCTCGCGTTTCGTCACTTTGAATGGCCACATCCTGTCCTCGCATCGCTCCAAGGGCTCCCCGCCTTCCTGGCATGTCTCCGTCGCGCACGCCGTCGTCGAGAAGGGCCCGCATCCGCGAGAGATCAAGCTCGCGCTTCCGCACCGCGCCCTCTCCTTTATCGCCCCCAACCAGCACGCGTTCGAAAAGTGGATCGTCTCCCTGCGGAGGGCGAGCGTCGTGTCCTCGCACGTCGAGGAGTATTACAACGTCGGGAGGCTCATTGGGGAGGGCATGAACGGACAGGTCCGCCTCGCTCACGACTTGCTTACGGATGAGCAGGTCGCCGTCAAAATGGTCCCCAGGTTGAATAGGGAAAATGAGACGCAGTTTTTGGCACGCGAGATACAGATCATTCTCAGCGTGTCCCATCCTAATGTCGTCAGGACTATTGATGTGTTCGTGCGTTCGCGACGCATCCATTTTGTCATGGAGTATCTGGCAGGCGGTGAGCTCTTCGACTTCATCGCGGAGAACTCCCAGTTCACTGAGGCTCACGCCGCCACCGTCATGCTCGATTTGCTCAACGCGCTTTCCTATCTGCACTCGAGAGGCATTGCCCACCGCGACGTCAAGTTGGAAAATCTTCTTTGCGCTAATACCACCTGGCCGCTTAATGTCAAGCTCGCCGATTTTGGCTTTGCCAACTATGTCAGCAAGACTGACGAGCCCATGCTTTCTAGCTTTGTTGGTACCCCGTACTATATTGCCCCCGAGATGCTGCGCGGATCTCCCCATGGCCAGGCGGTTGATGTTTGGGCCAGCGGCGTCGTCTTGTATATTTTGCTCAGCGGCAAGTTTCCGTTTGGAGGCAAGAACGAGTCTGAGTACTATCAACGTGTCCTCTCTAAGGAGGCCTACTTTCCCAATGAAGAATGGAGCAATGTGTCTGAAGACGCGAAGAACCTTGTTCGAGGAATGCTGTGCAAGGATCCGAGACGAAGGCTCACTGCAGAGCAATGTCTCAAACATCCGTGGATGAGGCGTTCAGAAGTCATCGATTCCGTCACGCTGGACGGCGAGGTGTTTCCCGTCGATCCCATGCCATCCGCCCTCTCAGATGCCGGTATGGACACTATCAACTCGCAACCACCAATACACATTCGCGCCATGTCAGACGCGGACGCAGAAATGCCGGCCAGCGAGTCAGTGGGTAGGGCGGCGACACCTCCGTCCTCGCACAAGTCTCGATTCCGAAAGTCTGAAAAGCAACATTTCCTGCGAACGCCTGGTATGTTTAAGGATAATCGCGAAAAGAAGGGCAAATCGCGATACCTCGGCATGCTCAATCACTCGATCAACGCTCCTACGCCTGAGATGCTTGCAACTCGCGCAGAAGCGGACATTGTACCACACCGACCGACGCCGGAGGTCCGCGAAAGTGCGGCACCAAACACACCTACTTCATTTGATGAGATTTTACCTTCGGAAGAACCAACAATGTATCGACGACCGAGTTTAATCCGCCGATTGCTGTCCTCTGGAAAGTTATCGCTGGATAGATACGACTGCCGATTCCCGTCATTTCGAGGAAGTGTTGAAGAGCACGCAGATGAGGCGTCGGCCACCCCTCGGAAGACGCTCTCTCTGTTCTCCAAGGATGGGCCGTTGCGCAGGTCCTTCCACCGCGGCGGAGAGAACCGCTCGACTGATGATGGCATCAACTTTGTTGATGCTAACGCCCAGCGACTGCCTCCAAAAATTGCAAGGGAGCGACAACGCCAACAACGCCTGGCTGCTGCTTCGCGGCGGGCTTCTCGAGGCCATGGAATCTTCAGTCATCGCAAGTCGGCAACGCAACAGTACACGATGCAGCAGCAGCAGTCAGAAGGATACCATTCGTCACCAAGATTGCAGGCGCCGCTTCATCCATTATCATCCATCCCAACGCCACCCGGCCAGCGCGGGCCCGTTCCAGGTCCCAGTTTGATTGGCAACTCATTGATGAAACGCCGTATGACGGCTGGTGCGGGCGCGTATATGGGAAGTTCTCAAATAGGAGTGCCCAACGTGCCCAACGTAACAAGTTATGGAAGTCTACAGAATAGAGGCTTGTCTGATCATATCGACGATGGGACGGTCCGTCGTACAATGAGCGCCGATGTAACGCCGGTTGGCCACTTCAGCACGAATTATATTTCGTCGCAGTCGGTGACTGGACGATTGTGAGGAGATTTTGCGGGAGATGATACTGTATATGAAAAAATGAAAGTTGTGATGTGGACAGGATCGAATGTGAATTTGTCAAGTCAGATTCGGGAGGAAATGCACTTGGGACAAGAGTCGAAACAGCAAATCAATAGGTAATGCGAAACGGTAGAGATCTCGTATTTATTTGTTCTGCCCCGTCACGGTTTTGTTGTCTCTCTCTTATTAAGCCCATCCGCATTGTACGCACTTCCACGTTGTTGTCATGCACATGGCTAAGCATGGGCAGCTGGCCCAATTTAGTTGAGAGGTTGGGGATTCGAGTTGGAGAATTGCAGTGTCATGCGGGGGATGCGGATGATCGGTCAGAGTGACATTGATGCACGTCCTTGGCGCACAGCTCGGGGATCTGGGCGGAAGGAAAATAAGCATGTCTGGCTTTTGGATGGTGGAGAACTAGTGCGCACGAGGATCGGCCCAACAATGTACAACAGAGGTGGAGACACTCAAACAGGGACGCGCAAAGTAATTTCGTTGTGCTGGCTCGTTGCGAGATCCGCCTTCTGAGGACGTCTTCTTTTGACCTGACTGCACGCATCGCATTCCTACAACTCTACTGCCGGCACATGCACGGGGAGTGCCACGCAAGGGCGCGGGGAGGGCAATTTATCACCAGGAAAATAATAGCTTTAGGTGGGTGGCCTGTCCAGTCCTGGACTAGATTCGGAATGAGGGCACGGGGTCGGGGAGGGCTTGTACGTGGGGCGCGCCTGGTGGTCGGCATATGTATAAATATTTTAAAGCTGGTCTCCTGTCGCCCTGTCGCAAACACTATCAGAGAAGAGGCACCTCTCTTCAACATCCTTTCACAACTATAGTTTCAGCCGCTGTCGAGAAAGCAAATCAGTGAGAAATCTGTCAATTGGTCCAGGCAAGCTTCCGATAATACCCAGATCAGCGGCGACGCGATGGGCACAGGCAAACCCCGAAAAAGCAGTTGCGTTGAGCCCTTGGCCTGGGAACGTCGAGTCTCCTACGCAGTACAGCTTATCAACGTCCGTCCGATTGAATGGCATGCTCAAGAGACCGCGAAGCTTCTTCTTGGCTACCGGTCCATAAGAACCGTCCACACGGCCGAGATATCTCCGATGTGTTCTCGCCGACCCGACCTCTGAGAATTCTATTGCACTCTTCAGTCCCGGAAATAATTTCTTCTCGAGTCGAGCTACAACTGTTTCCAGCATGGCTTCCTTTTTTGCCCGATATTCCTTGGGTGACAGCCCCTCCCATTCATCCACCCAGCTCGGGGTGAAGACATGGAAAATATGCATCCCAGGTGGGGCCAAAGACTTATCCAGCACTGTAGGTATAGAAACGAAAAGAGTGCCCTTGCCATCCCTGGCGGTTTCTATCTCATCCCAGTCATCCAGCATAATATGGTGGCAATCCATGCCTTGCTCTTCTGACATGCCCACCTGCAAATCCTTCTCCCTGACGGCCATATGCAAAGAACAAAAACTTGGGCTTTTGACGTACCGTTCGCGAAAACGCTCCTCCGATGGTGGAACGCGTTCCGCCTCTACGAGCCCTTTCTCCCCAAACGTGTCCCAACGCGTCGCATTGCTTATCACGACTTTGGCAGACACAGTACGACCATTGACGAGTTTCACCCCGCAAGCAGCCCCCATGCTGTCAAAGAGAATTTTTGACACTCTTGTCCGGAAATGTACAGAACAGCCATCGCACTCTTCGATGCCAGCGACAATCTCCTCAGAAATGCGCCCGACACCACCCACTGGGTAGTTGATCCCGCCGTAGTGGCGATCCGAAAATACCATACCGGCGTTGATCATCGGAGTCAGGTCGGCCGGTACAACGCTCCATGAGTAGCATTCCATGTCGATAAAGTTGAGCAACGTCTCATCTTTTATGTGATCACGAGCAATATCCCCGGCGTTTCGTCCAATGAATCTCAGCAAGTTGAGACACGCAATCGGATGAGCCGCGAATACCTGGAGCAAGTAATTGGGCTCCTCCAATGACTTTAACGGCATGCAATTCAATGAATTGAACACGCTCCAACAGGCACCATAAAACTTCCGAATCCCCTTTTCTTCATGCGGAAACCTCTTAATGAGCCCCGCCAAAAACTCGTCATATTCCCGATGCACCTTGATATCAAGCTCATCAGGCAAATGATACCTGACTTGCACGGCATCAGGCACCGTTTCTATACGCTTCCCCACCGTTGCCAGAGCTCGCGTGAGCAAGTTAGTTGTCCCGCGCTCGCCGAAACCGAAGATCATAGAGGCGCCGGCATCGAAGCGAAAGCCCTTCCGTTCAAACCATCCTGAGGAGCCTCCGGGGATTATATAGCTCTCCAGCACGGCAACAGATGCGCCTTTCGAGGCGAGGTCGGCAGCAGCAGTTAGGGCCCCCATGCCGGAGCCGATGAAAACGGCATCGACGGCTTCCGGAAGCGGCGCGGGCGTTTTCTTGGAGGATGTAAGGTTTGAGGCCCGCGCGACGGAGGCACGGGGGCGACGCTCATGCTTTCTGTCTAAGGCAGCACGCCGGACACATGGAGTAGCACGAGTGACGGGGATAGAAATCTGAAATGCGAGCCCCATGGTGAGCTACCGATTCGGTGACATGCGCAACGAGTCAATGATGTCAGAGTCCTTTTTGCTGAGAGCGATGGAGATTGGGGTCGAGATCAGTTTGATCACATATAATTAATACAGGAAATGTTGGACACCGAGCATTAACGTCTAGACGCAAGCGATTTGACCTCATATGAGGCCAGCTTTTTTTTGCAAAAATATATACTGTATACGTTTTAAACTATAAAAAAGAATGCAGGTTCGTAACACGCTTGCTCTGCGCTTTCATTTGAGCTACTGTTCAGTATCATATCTTTTGTATTCATGTGAAAGCTAAAGGTTTTGGGGGTGTCCCTATACTTTCAGTGCGCACTGTACAGAGCAGAGAAGCGCACTCATTCCTTTAAATGGATGAGAGGTGACCGACCCAGGACTCCCGGTAGCTGTGAAACTAATTAAAATTGCACAGATAGGAGCGACGGAGGCGGGGGAGAGATCGCGGGAGGGTCTGATAGGCCTTGGAAAAAGTGCAAAACAACGATGTTGTGCCTCTTTTGGCGAGCTCACCGTTCAAAACCCATTCATAATATGTTGTCACATCGCTCCTTCTGACTGCTCGTTGCAAGTACCATGGATACGGTATTGCCCCTTAGGGCATAACAGGCAGTCACACAATAAAGCCGCTACCACCGTCCGTTCCTGCGGCAGTGCCGGAGAGAGGGGGTCATCGGTGTTACTGGCATTACATTTAATAACGCCGAACTAAACTGCTTCATTCCGTAAAAGAAACACAAGGAAAAGTTTGACTGCCTCGATTGTGCAAGCCCAGGAGGGTATCATTCTTTTGGGCTCTATTTGTCTTCGATGCAGCACTTCTCGTGTCAACGTGATCAAGTCTTCACAACTTTTTGGTGTATGTTCAAAAGCTAAACTCTTTACTCATGATCTCCACAATCTGTGGTCCTGGCGTGTTGCGACACGGCGAGAAAAACAGCTAGCTCTAGTATTCGGCCGCCACTTCTTCCCTGTTCTTTCGTCTTCTTTTCACTCCATTCTGTTTCCCCACCTCCGGCGGGGCATCCCGGGACCCCCCCTTTCTCTTGTGCTTCTTCTTCTCACTCTGCTCTACATCACCAATGTCCGCCAACCCCCTCATCTTTTCCAACGTATGCTCAACAACTGTAACCCGTGCAACCAACCCGTTCACTCTTTCCAAATGCCGTCTACAATGCGCATCTAGTCCCTCCACGAGTGCCCTCTTCTCCACGCCGACAAGCTTATCGCACAGCACTTCCGGCCCAAACACGCAAAACAAAGCCTTCAATACACGCATGGCAACGCCGGCATTCTTCGACCCGCCCACTGCGTTCCAATCGCGGCAGGCTAGAAATAGTTTCGTCACAAGTTCCCACCGTTTTTTCTCGTCCTTGCCCCCTTCGCTCAGCTCTCGCACCATCCGTTCCAGATCCTCTGACGGGTCTTCAGCTTTCTGAATGAGCTCCATTACAACTCCTCGCAGCTTTTGTCGCATGCCCAACTTCAACGCACCGCGCGCAGCTTGGCTCCATTTTCCCGCCCGTGCCGAATTGTGCACCTGTTGTTCCAGCAACGCTTCCTCCTCTTTCTGTACCACTGCTGCAAGCTCTTGCTCTTCTGTTGTATCCAGCCACTCCTCAACGATACCATCTGCACCTCCGGTCACCAAAGTCTCACCATCATCAATACTGGCAAGGCCCCAGGCCCTGTCAGAGTGTGCCTCAAAGGTGGATGCACATTCCCCGGTCTTTGTTATCCACAGCTTGATTATACCATCAGCACCCGCGGATGCGAGTTGCGTCCCGCCAGAGATAAACACACTTCGCAGCACTCCTGACATGTGACCCTGAAAGCTTCTTAAGCACGATCCATCCGCAACATTCCACAACCGAATAGTCGCATCCCCGGAACAAGACGCGACAATGCGGTCTACCGTCGAAAAGGTCACGTTCCATATGCCCCTCTTGTGCCCTTTGCAGGTGAATTTCAGTGTGCCTTTGGCTACATCCCACATCTTAAGACTGCGATCCTGAGAGCCGGTCGCGACTAGCTTGCAGTCCGGCGATACGGCCACGGCATTGATGTCCTTGTCGTGGGCCAACGTGGTCCACTTGGCCGATAAGGCCATGAGCTCAGATTTATCCGTCGACGTCATCTCCGTGCTCCAGTCCTGTTCTTCGGCATCTGCTCTCGCCTCCCCATCGGTGAGACTTCGCTCCCGCTTTTCTGCAGATTTTTGCACCTGATCCAGGCTCCATAGCTTAATGGTGCGATCGGCAGCACCTGTCACGATGAAGAATTGCCCCGCCGCAGTGCGCTGCGAAATGGCTACGGCCCCAACAGCGTCTGTATGCCCGTCAGCCAATGCCATGCAAGACCACCGACCTGATGCGCGACTCCTCCGCCACACCCGCGCCGTCTTATCTCTAGACGAAGTGGCAAGATAAGAATCTGCCGTGTTCCCTTTCCCGATGCCCTTCGGATTCGTCAGGGCATCGATGCAGAGAATGATGCCGCTATGGCCCCGCAGACCGGCATGACAAGACCATACGGCAGTCTCTTCTTTCACCAAACCCTCATCCGGTTCCCCTGCATCTATTTCCCCCGTGGCAAGCTTCGGAGGCACATCCCCTTGTGCATCATCCACAGGCGTCGTTCGCATAATCCACAAGCAACTTGAGTTGGTCGCCAATGCCACATCCCTCATACCCCTATTCGCAACCTTTGCGACAACATCCCTCGTCCGCAGCGGTCTCAAATCATAGACTTCTTCTAGATTGCCACAGACGACATCGCTCACCCGCTGAACATCATCTCCCCCTTGAACCTTTGCATACAAAATCGTTTGATCTGACAGGGCCACAAAAATCTGGTCCGCTCCACACGGGCCGATGGCAACCGGCAATACGCCCTCCTCTCTTTCCTCATCGTCGTCCCCCTCCCGTCCTCCTCCGACAAACGGCAGCTTGGCGCCCGTGCCCACTTCCCTGCCGCTGGCCACATCCCACTTCCTCACAACCCCCCTCTCCCCCACGGACAACAAAGTGCGACCCGCAGCACCCCTTGGATTGACCAAGCCGACAAGTCTCTCCCCGCAGGCCACGACCCTCGCCTTCTTCATCGCCCCCCACTTGGCAATGGCCAGCAGGCGATCTGTGCCGGCACTAACAACAAGTTGGCCGCGATCCGCGAAGGCGAACGCGACAACGCTCCCGACATGCCTCTTCGCGACCTCCCTGGGCTCCTGGCCCTTGCCGTTCAGGTCGCACAAAAGCACGCGGCCGTTCTCCATGCCGAGCAGCAGGGCCATCTCTGCGGGCTGCGGGTGCCACTCGAGGGCGGTGACGATGCCGGTGGCGCGGAAGACGTGGGTGACGTGGCCCTTCCGGGCATGGAACACGCGGACGTGGCCGTCGGCAGCGGCGACGGCCAGGTACGTGGCGGACACGTCGAACCGCAGCACCGAGGCGACGACGGCGTCCCGGAACCGG